CGCTTAACGACTGAGCCACCCAGGCGCCCCTCCGGGTTGCTTTTAATACTTAAAATCAATGCACGCGAAGATGAGTCCATGTCCCCTGGAAACGGTGCACGGGACTGCCCTCTCCCCTCCATCTGCAGAGCGCCCTGCAGCAGAGAGCTGGAGATTTCAAGAGAAAGGAGACTCCGACCTGACCACGGTGGAGAGGAGATACAGTTGAGTTGAAGAAGTCGGGAGGGCTGGGTGTGGATTTGGTCGCCAGATCCAAGTATACCAAGGCCGGGAAGTTTAAACCACTTAAAGTTTAAAGGGAGGCCAGTTTGCGGGCATATAAAAAGAATTCCTTGAATAGTAGCCTATGCCCGTGTTAACCCAAGATTTTTTTTTTAGCAAAGTTTATTGAGTGATAGTACAAAGCTCCCAGAGAGGGAGGGACCAAAGAGGGTTGCCCCTTAACCCAAGATCTGATGAGGCAGATAGTAGGTCAAAGCAGAGGTTCTCACAAATTACCTCCTTGGATCCAGTAACAGCCCCAGAGGTATATTACTAATAAGCAGGAGGAGTTAGAACCATTAATTGTCCAATGTGGCTAGGTCAGCAATGAGAAAAAGGCTTTGGGCTTCTAACTTTAAGCTCCAAACTTTTCCACAGTTTTCCCGGTTGAGCTCAGGTAACGGAATTGCTGTTTCAAAGGTGTTTAAACGTGTTTAAGGGGGTACTGGAAGAGCATGGGACGCTGAGATCCCCAAAGATCCATGACTTCCTTTTCTGCTCTGTAGGTGTGTCCCCTCAGGAGACCACATCTGAGCTCAGCCTAATGTGGAGTCCATGGGTTTCGGGAAGGAAGGGGCTCCACAAACCAGTTGAAAATGAATGCAAAACTGGGGGTGGATATGCATTTTTCCAGCAAGGAGGTCCCATTGCTTTCATGACTTCTCAGGGGAGTCAAGGATCCAAAAAAGGGTTAAAAACCACTGTCCTACACCCTTAGTTTGTTTGCTGAGCCGATAAGCAGGGGTGAGAAACTGAGTGTTTGTTTAAAAGGTATCCACGTTAAGCTAACTTGGCTTGACGTATTATTTTCTGCCCCAGACCATGCTATTGTGTAAATGAGCTGTGATTGACAAGTGTGTGAAAGCGCCTTGGTTATGTAGGGTGTTATTCCTGCCTAAAGACACGGAAATAATTAGCGTGAATTCCGCAGATGGTACCAAAGAAACAGACTTTCTTCACTCCCCATTTCCCCTTGAATTCCTTTCTAGTTGCCAGAACCTTCTCTCAGTCCCTTCTATTGAGTCATCTTATAGCATTTCTGCGAACTTGTTGAGAGTTTCATGTCCTACGGCTGACTGGACATTGAGTTTGAATACCAATTATCATGCAAAGTGATGACCTTTTCAAGAAGGATGTGCCTTAGTTTCTCTGTATCCCGGCAGCCTCATGAGCTAGACAGAGGGGGGGCAGGTGTGGGTGGCTGGGCTGGAGAGGTAATTGACTTGCTAGAAGTAACTGGAGGTTACTTTACACAATGGGAACGTCACTGTCAGAACGGAAGGGGTCAGACTTGCAACTGCAGCTCTCCTTCTACTTGAGGAGATGTGGAGTGGCAGCCAGAGGCCGTGTTTAAGTGTCTCCAGGTTGTATTTGAGGCTGAGTTACTTCTAGGAAGATCCTGTAGTCAGCTGGATTTGGAGGATGTGCTCTCTGCCTGTTTAGCAGAGAGACCGCTCTTCCTACCCTTGCTTGTCAGACAAGCCTTCCCTGTTATAGCAGCCACCTTCTGGACAGTTGCCAACACAAAACTTCTTAAACAAACAAGGAAATATGCTAAATTTGGAGACAGCGATTTCACTGCTTGCGGCTCAGGGTTATGTAATATATTTAAATTTTGCCCCTAAAATTAAAAAAACAAAACAAAACAAACCGAGAAACTTGTGATGCCATCCCTAGCAACCAATTCTTGCTTTGGTGAACTCTCAAGTCCTCTAGTGGCAAATATACAATTAGAATTGTTTACGTGCTATGAAAAGGCAACCACTGGGGCGCCTGGCTGACTTAGTAGGTTAAGCATCCGACTCTTGACTCCTGGGATCCAGCCCCACTTCAGGCTCTGGGCTGGGTGTGGAGCCTGCTTAACAAGCTTAAGATTCTCTCTCTCCCTCTGCCCCCCACCCCAAGCATGCACTCTCTCCCTCCCTCTCTCTCTCTAAAATAAATAAGTAAATTTAAAAAAAAGGCAACCACTGTTAAAACTGTTAAAACTTATTATAAGTAAATGCTCTAATGCTCTAATAAATAACTCAGAACTTACATATGAGTATCAACCTAGAAGATATCTCTACCCTTGCTCTTATTTCTTCTCGACATGTGTAGATCCTTTCTGCATCCTTATAGATAAATTTCATATCTTTTTCTTTTTTTTTTTTTTAAAGATTTTATTTATTTATTTGAGAGAGAGAGAACACATGAGAGGGGATAGGGTCAGAGGGTGAAGCAGACTCCCTGCTGAGCAGGGAACCCGATGCGGGACTCAATCCAGGGACTCCAGGATCATGACCTGAGCCGAAGGCAGTCGCTTAACCAACTGAGCCACCCAGGCGCCCTCATATCTTTTTCATAGATATGTTTCTAGAAGTAGAACCACCAGATCAAAAGTGCACTTCTCACAGGCTTTGGAGGTTGCATATGGCCAAAGTGCTTTTTAGTAAGATGGAGACGTTTCCACCAGCAATGTACAAGAATGCCATTCCTCCAAGCGGTGCCAACCTTGGGTATTTGCAAACTCATAGCAAATACTTGTATCTCATTTTAAATTCAGCTCTTTAATTACTAGGAAGGATGGATTTTTTTCCAAGTGTGTATCGGTTATTTGTGCATGTGTGTGTTTTAATGAATTATCTAATCATGTCCTGTGCCCATTTTTTTTTCTCTTTGGGTATTTATTGTCATCTTATAAATTTATAAAAACTCATCATTTGTCATGACTATTAACGCTTTTTCTTATTGTGTATGCTATGAACTTTCCTCTAGCTTAGAGTTTGCTATGGAAGTTTTAAATATATATGTATTCAAATCTATGCATCTTTTCCTTTATTTTGCCTATATTTGATATCTTTCTTAGAAATAATTTCCCCAAACTAAGATTATATAAACATTCAATGATCACTTTTTCAGGTACATCCTTTAAGTTTTATATTCAAATCTATAATTCATCTGGAATTTATCTGGGGATTAATTAATTTTATTTTCACTGGAAATGGTTAATTATTTCAGCAATATTTTTTTATTTTTAAAAATGTTTTATTTATTTATTCATGAGAGTCAGAGAGAAAGAGAGAGAGGCAGAGGCAGAGGGAGAAGCAGGCTCCCCGCCAAGCAGGGAGCCCGATGCGGGGCTCGATCCCGGGACCCTGGGATCATGACCTGAGCCGAAGGCAGATGCTTAACCATCTGAGCCACCCAGGCGCCCCTCAGCAATATTTTTGAATAATCCATTCTTTCCTCATGGACATGAAATTCCACTATTACATAAAATTTTATTCTATCTACATTTTCTGTTTTGTTCTCTTGATTTATCTGTTAGGGCTAGTGTCAGTATCATCTTGATTATTGTAACATCAAGCTACATTTTATAAATTATACTCTATAGCTCTGTAACCTTGAACAAGTAATCGGACATTTTCGACAATTTCTTTATGTGTAAAATTATTTCTATTTTATTTGCAATTATGGTATTTCATTGCTAATACTGTTTACTTTTCTTAAATATTGGTTTTTCTTGAACTTTGTTATCTACATTATTCGTTTTTTCCATGAAGCCATAGTTCTAATAACCTTTATTTCATTCATTTCTGTTTTTATTTTGTTATCCTTTTTTGTTTGTTTGTTTTGGGGGGTTTATTCTTTTTTTCCTTATTTCTTGTATTGCAAGTTTAGCTCATTAATTTTGGAGTCTTTGCTTTTTTGTTTGTTTCTAAAAATTTACCTATTTGTTTTAGAGAGAGAGAGGGTGAGAGAGAGAGAACACCAGTGGCAGGGGTAGAGGGAGAGGGAGAGAGAATCTCAAACAGACTCCATGCTGAGCATGGAGCCCCATGCGGGGCTTGATCTTATGATCCTGAGATCATGACCTGAGCCAAAACCAAGAGTCAGATGTTTAACTGACTGCGGCACCCAGGCGCCCTGGGAATCTTCGTTTTTTTTTTTTTTTTTTTAACACTATAACTTGTCAATTCTCAGATGGACATGTTTCAGAATTTGCACCTTGGAGGTTGGATTGGTCTTCCTAGTGCAGTGGGCCCAGCAGCAGGTGTGAAGTAGTTGTTAGAAACTTTGCTGAATGAGTGCTGAATAATGAAGAAGGTGTGTCTGTGTCTTGGAAGAACATTCCAGAGGCAATTGAGGAGCACTCATTTAAGAAGTGCTGCATCACTTGTGTGCTTGTTGCACAGAGGTCAATTTAGGTGGAAAATGTGCACATCAGTGATTGAATTGAAAAGTGACTCAGTAATCAGATTTTTGAATGCAAGGTTTAAGAAAGCCTTAACCAATTTGTTTGCTTATATTTTCCTTCTTTAAACATGCGCATGAATGATATGTGCTTAAAATCTACATCTAAGTAAGTCTGAAAGAGTGCTTCAATAAATATATAATCAAGACTCTAAGTGGTAAAGCATTCTGTCATAGTTTCATTCTTGTGGTACGTAAAATACTAATATTTTTTATTTATTTTTATTTTTTATTTTATTTTTATTTATTTTTATTTTTATTTTTTTTAAAGATTTTATTTATTTATTTGAGACAGAGAGAATGAGAGACAGAGAGCATGAGAGGGAGGAGGGTCAGAGGGAGAAGCTGACTCCCCGCCGAGCAGGGAGCCCGATGCGGGACTCGATCCCGGGACTCCAGGATCATGACCTGAGCCGAAGGCAGTCGCTTAACCAACTGAGCCACCCAGGCGCCCCATGTAAAAATACTAATGTTATTACAATTGCTGGTGCCTCATATTCGGTGAAATACAGGATATACGGTAAATGCATTTCAGGCTCTAATTTCTACTTACTGCTTTACTTTGGATAACCACAAGTTTTGATTTATAGTACTTAAGTCATTGGCCATTAAGCACCTCATGATTTCCAATGCGATGTCCTCTTTATTTAGCAGTGTGGTTTGAGTTTCCAAGCTTACGGATGTTTTTGGCTGTCTTTTTATTATTGATTTCTAATTGTATTGTATTGTGGTCAGAGAGTGTGGTCTATGTTACATTTGTTGACACGACTTTTATGGCTTGTAGGTGGGCGGTTACTCCTTTGGCTATCGGGAACCTGTACTCTCTTCTTGGTAGCTCCGTGTCTTTCTCAGCTCCTCCCCTGTGCTCCACTCCACCCAGCTAGCTACTCACACCTCAAGCAACCAGTTGACCCTTCCTTTACCTGGGGCTGCTCTAGGTGCCGTGGCATATTCCAGAACAGATCTTCCCATGCTTGGCTGGCTCTGAGAATCACCTGCGGTGCTTCTTAACCATACTGACACCCAGGTCTTCCCCTACAGGTCTGGGTCAGAGCCCTGGGATCCTGAGTGTTGAACCAAGTGCCCTAAGGTGATCCTCGTGATCGAGCAAACTCGAGAAACTGGGCAGTTCGGCATCAGGAAGTGGGATGCTATAGAACGTAGTGGTGGAGCTGCGGAATGTGAGCCTAGTTGCTGCAGGGGATGGAGTTCAAATTGCAGGTTCCCAGGCCTCACTTAGAGAGATTCTAATTCAGTGTCTGTGATGGGATTTAAGAATCTGTATTTTTTTTTTTTAAGAT